AGCGCAGATCAAGTTCGCTTCATTTTATCAATAACTGCCTCCGTTTCTCGAGTCGAAATTATTGTTAGAAATATGTTTACATAAAATCCATCTAAATTTTAAGCTGATAAAGAAATCACTAAGTCGTTGAGAGGTCACTATTCATAAAACTTGAGTAATCGCATAGGAGACTAATAAGATGCAGGTCATTTCCAAATACATACAAGCGACTAGGCTTCATTGTTCAATTCGTGCTTAATTTTAAATTAGTTCGCAATTTGTGTAGCTGTGCATCGCTTAAATATAAAATAAAATTAAATTATATTTATAAATTCTTGCAATTTTGCTAATAGATTTATTAGTGAAGTCAAGTGAAGCATCGATATTTAGCTTGGTTAGTTTACCAATTGAATATTTTAAAATCTAATCAAATATTTTACTTAGGACTTGAAAGAGCGTATAGAGAAAGATTAGATTAGTGGAACCTATTGATATCAAACTGTAAAGCCAATGATAAACTATGCAGCTTCTGTTCGATCAAAGGAAGAACAATTTGCAGAGTTATAAAACAAAATTCGCGACCAGGAGGCGATTATAGTAAATTTAAAGGAAACCATTAAACATACAGAATTTCAGCCGACTCAGAAAATAATCAACCTGCAATCTGAACTAAAATTAAAATGATAATTGATGAATGTTAAAATCAATTTACAAACATTTCACATCAAAAAATGCTTAAATCGATGAAAAAGATAAGGAAATAAAGAAATTGCTATTCAATCAGGGTATAATCAAGGACAGAGACAATCAACTATCTTGAATGCAAAAAAATAAAACAACTTCAGGAAAAACTCGTAGAATGTCAATCGAAACCTGTGTATTCAAGCTGTATGTGTAAATTAACCAATGTGTATACGATTAAAGTACTCGGCTAGTGCCGGTTGGACTCTATTAATGGCAGTGTGAGTTTAAATCGAAACTGAAAAAATACAATGTTGGTTTCGGAGAGCTACTAGGAGAATTTTTCCAAGGATTAGAGAAGCTCCACTTACTGACGCAATCGCAAGAACACGAGTTGCATATTCACCTTGAGTACTTTAAAAATGAAAAGTCAAATATAGTAATTATTTCGTTGGAAATGAGAAATGAGAAAGAGTCGTATGCGATAAAAATGCTTTAGAGAATATTCTGGAAATGCAAAATATTCATTGCAAAAGAATTTAAGCCTGAACAGGATAATGACATTGACGGGGAAACTTGTGCAACATTATACGACTCCGGTTGGTGGTTTTACGACTTTATACAGACTATATATCAGTAACTCTACTGTAGAATATGTTGATGGAATTGAATGGAGAATTAGACAGTATAAATTTGTGACTAGATCCAAAGATAAGTAAATTGGAATCACTTGACTATTTCTAACATATAAATTTTATTGAAACTAACCTTTTGTTTGAATAATAAAGTACAAGCAATTTGGTTTTGGAATGATCAATATCAGTGGTAAGAAATCGAATAGAAGATGTGCTGAACTATATAAGGTAGGTGGCTTCACGCCTATTATGATTGGTAAACGATTTAAATATTATTTGTTGTATTATAATTTCGATTACTATTATTTCCCTTTTTATACTTTGATACCAAAGGTCTCATAGTGTATTGGTTTTGTGCAATGTCCGTTATGCTGTCTGTCCGTTGATATAAACGCGACTCATTCAATAATAACAATAATTGCCAATCGATAAAGCCACGTATCTGCCACCAAATTTGGTTGGTAGATTGTTGGCGATATATTTCAAAGATCGGCATTTACCGCACCCATCCCAGCAGCTCCCCCCCCCCCCCACCCCAAGTCTTCCGCCCCTACAAATTTGAAATGGCTATATCCTCCGCAGTTTTTGAGCTAGCTTTTTTTGAGTTAAATTTGGAAGGTATATTACTGGTAGGTATATTACTTAAGAACTGATAACAAATTTGTATGGCCACGCCCACACATGCGCCCATAATTGCCAAGGCCGATATTTCGGAAAGTCTAAATGGATAAATCCGCATATCACATATCATAATATCACAATCTTCCACAATTCTAAATATAGATTCACCATACATTTCAGCTAACTTGCTAGTATATATATTTTCAGACCACGCCCACACCCGCTGAAATGCGCATCCACAATTTGTTAGCTAGTCATCAAATTTTGAAGGAATGTGACTAAAGAGAGATTGATCAAAAATTGGATGGCCACGCACACTACGCCTCTCCAAACCGATACACCTCTTAGGGTAAATCGATAAATCCATATATCTCACACAATTTTAAAGTTAGTCACCAAATTTGAAAAGTAATTTTGCATGGTATTTCTTGGCTAAGCCAACCCAATCTTTGCTAACTGTTGTCAGCTGGTATTACTTATGGTATCAAAACATTTCGCAGTCGGTTCCGCCCGACTGCAACGTTCTCTCTTGTTTAATATATTGTAATTTAAATATTGAAAAAAGCTGACCTAAATGGGAATAAAAAGATGATCAGGCCAAAGTTGAAGTTAACTCTTAAATACTATCGCAACGAACGCTAAAAATTCAAAGACGAATACAGATGCTCACCGATATGAAGTTCGTAATTTATAAATCGCTTTGGCAATCGAGTCGCAATACTTTTATTTATTTAGCGGGTTGGCAGAGAGGGTAGCAAACAGTTTCCTTTACTTCTTACACTTCTTCAAATCTACAGCTGATGCGATTATAGTCAGCAAAAATTATGGAATGAAATGACATCTTGAGGGCCAAGCGGTACTAGCACTGATAAAGCAGTATTAAGGAGAATATAAAAAAAATAGTGAAGACGATTGGAACTTTTATGGGTATGACCAGTTAATAACACTGTCCACTTACGCCCACGCAATCACTGGAAGCATTTTTTACGTTTGCCAAGATACTTTTAACCCATGCGCAAGAAAAAAAAACATAAAGACAATGAATCAAGCCTACAAAGTTGGCCAACTTTATGTGATGTTGCCTAAAGGCAAAAACAAATTTCCACATAGTACCAAACTCTGAGTTTTGAATAGGGCAATTGAAATGGCTCAGATGGTTTTGCGGTTCGCTGCCCGCTTACTATTATGTGTCAAAATTATGTAAATGAATTGGCGAAAGTCCTTACGTAAGGTCTTACTTAACAAATTGTATATTTTGTATTATTAGAGGTACAAATAATACACCATATAGTTTGAATACGAAAAGTATGCCAAATTAAAAACCCAGCTACTTGTTGGCAAAAAAGCATTATGACAAAAAATAACACAAATTTTAATAAAAACCAATTACAAAAATAATAAGAACTTACGTTTATTTTATGTATATATCCATCATTAAAATATTAAGCTAGAATGAGCAAACCAAGGCACTTTAGGGCCAATCATTCTTTTAAGTTGAAGCCTCGGAAAACAAGTGGGCGGCCAAAAGCTTACCCATTTAACCAATTTTCAGCAGCCCACAAAAACGATTACATTGACCGCAACGGCAGCACACACTGCTGCTTACTATGTGTCTGGAGGCATGGCTTATTGTTAAACGGATTCAATGTAAAGAACCGCCTGCACCACTTGCTGGCCAAGTAACAACTCATCAAACTATATTTTCAATAAATAATGACAGTGAATTGAAGAGCATGCTGGGCACGCGGCTGGTGGAGGGTGGCTTTGCAAGAAACACAAACACAAGCCAAAACACATACTTAGTTGCCTCCAGTGTGTGTGTGTGTGGATGTGTTACCACGTCCAGGTACCGCTACTGGCCGTATGCAGTAAGCATTGGCATGTGTGGTAGCAACTTTGGCAGTGCCTGCTTTGCATATACCTTCATCTTCCTCCAGCAGCGACGTCCACCTCCTTTACAGTAGAACAAATTGCGTGATTATCAAAATGTATTTTTGCGTATTAATGCTTTAAGTTGATTTCTAAAAAGGATAATTAATAATTATGTGTTATTTTTTGTTACGAAATGAACTGCAAACAATTTTGGCTTTGCTTTTATTTTGATAATTTACAATTAATAATAATTATTAAATAATTTATTAATAAATATTATTTTGGTTTATTAGTATGAAAGAGTACATCTTAAGGTGTAATTTTTTTTCATAGTTAGACATGAAGTTCACGAAAGTAAAAAAAATATATGTTTATATATATATTTATTGATACATTTATATATATACATATATATATATATAAAACTTTACAAATATATATGAGATATGTAAATTATTGTCAAGTTCAAAATGCTGTGAATTTTTAAGATTTACTATAATAATTACATTAATTATTTCAGTTAAGGTTAAATTGTAATTAAATAGTAAATGTTAAGAAAAATTCAGAACATTTTGAACTCGACATTGACATATCTTACATGAATGTGTAGTTTTTTGTAATATTGACTCTCGACAGTGCCTCATTTTTCAATTTTAGTGGGCATATACGCACAATAAATTGCACTGGTCCACGAAGTGACGGAGTGTAAATGGTCGAGGAGCGCCGTAAAAACTGCACATGCCATTTTCACGAGACCACATTTAGCAGTCTTTTAATCTTTTTGGCTACTTTATGGGGCCTAAGACCGCAACCAAATGGCTGAATATTGTTGCTGTAACAAAACTTTTTACTTTTACTAATTTCAAATATTGTATTGTTATTGTATTATTATAAAAATTAATTAAACATCTTGATTTGTAGAAATGTATCTAAATTTGAAGAGATTTAGTCTAGTCTTTATTCGTATGTGCACATAAGCATAATTATCGTGCAGCTTCTCGTAAGCGTACTTAATCTTTAAATTAAGATATTCGGTTTCAGTTTAAAACCTTAGTAAACGTTTAAACACCCATTTTAATTCTTGAGTGTGTTTGCTTGGCATTTATATGGCTAAGTGAAGACACATAAATAGGAAGAATGGACAAAAGATATGTGGCCACACATTTGCCATTAAATTTGATTGATTGTCGTAGTGGGTGTTCTGAAGCTTACCTCTTTCAACTCCAGAAATATCTTTTGCGTAGCCTGCAAATAGAAGAAACAACAAAACATTCTGTTAATTTCACAAGTACTCCTACATATAAATAATATTTAAGGTATTTTTGTAATATTTCTTAATGGCACAAACAAGAATGCAAATCAAAAAAATAAATAAATAAAAAAGCAAAAGGTTGCACGACCTTACCTTGTGCGCCCCAAAGGGTTCAAGAGTTTTGGGCGCACAAAACGTAAAGTATTCAAATTAAAAACTACTTGAGTGAGTAAAGTGCAGCCGGGAAAAATTTTTCCTTCCTACCAGAAGAAAAAAATTCTGTGTGCCACAAAGTTAAGAATTCAGGAAACTCACTGCCAGCTCTCAAATGTAAAATGCACAACCGACTGTCAAGAACTTCTAGTCCCTTTCATGGGTAGCTAGCTATGAAAGAGTCAACGATGGTTTCAAAATAAGCTGCGCAAAAATAGCACAGAAGAAATCATAGATTATTAAATTAGAATTTGTCCATATTAATCGATGTAATTTAATAAATTTATACGGCAGCAATTTAATCGAGGTTGATTTTGTCAGGTATATTATCATTTCTAGACCTTTCATATATATTGCAGTCAGAGCAATATTTATTCGTATATTCTTCTTTTAAGTGTTTTCTGCACATTGATATTTACATTTTTATTATTCATGCTTTCATTCGTTTTTCGCCTTACAATGGGAATCATCGTGATTTTTTCTGGGATAACTTTATTTTTAGTGATGAGTCTAGATAAAACAAAAAGTTGGATTCGATGACCTTCCCAAAGTAAATGAAATGCAAATATAGTTATGACTGAGAAAGGAGGGTGAAGCATGACGGAGTATATTTAGTGGTTAGGGTATGCAAAGATGCAGCTGCAGCTAAATCTGTCAAAACATTTCAAACGAACATTTTAGTTGAAGAGCTCTGGGACTGAGGCTAGATCTGGTGACATTCTTATTCGGACAAGAACAGCCTATTAACCACTATAAACAAGAACAGCCTATTAACCACTGTAAACAGCTAAGAATGCAACCCCAGTCACCGGACCTAAACCCTATTGACCCTATTTGGACATGCTGGTGGAAAGAATAGGAAAATACGCTATTTCTTAAAGGAATCCGGCATAGCTAGTTCACGACGTTTGAAAGACTTCATAAAGGCAAAAGAATATCCAAGTAAATAGGATACATATTTTTTTAATTAGTATTTTAGAAATCTGAGAAGTGTTCCAATAATTTTTGGGCGAAAAAAAGTGTATTATTGGTTATAATTAATCATTTTATCATAAATAATATGTAATATGCCAACGTGGAGTTTTTCAGTTATTATATGTTTATATTATATTAAAATTAATCTTAATTCAAGTTATTAAGAGCCTTAAGACAAGTTAAATATGCATTTTTATACATTGTTGTGCAACCTTTCTATCAGTATACACAGTACCCAAAATGTTGTTCATTTCAGTTTAATTAATATTTATATTTGCGTCTGTTTTGGTTTTTGTATCGGTTCTGCACGTCTAATTAACGCTTAATTCTCATTTGCATATAACACAATAGAGAGAATCAGAATGAAATTTTGCTTTAATTGCATAAAGCTAAATGTGAACAATAATTCGCAAAGTGGGTTAGGAGAAGGCCGTGTTTTTCAAATTATTGTTAGCTGTGCGTTTTGTTGTCTCTTTTAGGTTGTGTGTGTTGATTGCAAAATTGGCAAAATGAGCACTAAATAATTTATACAATATTTAGTTATTATATTTATGTATATATGAACATGTATGTACGTGCTTATGGTAGTGACTAGTGTAAGCGATTAAATGCATTGTCTGGCGGCCCAATGATTATTCGCTTGTCCAATTTACAAGCGTCAAAATCGACAATTCGACGTTGCGCCAATTATACATATTATTATTGCTAATTAGTGTCGATTTTGAACACTTAAACAGCTCCACAACATGGGACATATCGCGTGTAAGCTGCATGTGTAATCTCTTAAGGCTATTAGCTTTTGTTTAAGCTTTTTGTTTCCTTTTTGTTATAAAAAAGGATATATAAATATATGTATATGTATATCGCAAGTAAAATATTTTGCGATATATAATTTTCGGATTTATAGAGACAATACATATTACACACCAAACAATTCGTATTCTCAAACAAACATATGTTAAATATAAATTTAAATTTGCTTCGATCTTCATCATTGCCATTCACAAATGCATTTTCCTTTGCTCTTTTCAACACACAACACAGAATGTCATTGCGAGTAATAATTCATCAGAGAGAGAGAGAGAGAGAGAGAGAGAGAGAGAGAGACCTTCCAACGGCCATAAAATCTGTAGCTGAAAAACTAATTTACATCCGATTTTAATTCATTAGATTTTGGGTTCATTGTTTTTTTCTTTAATGGAGACCGACATCCTTTTGTCTTGCCTGGCACTTTAGCTGCGGATGCATTAAGTCCCAACCCTCACCCATCAGTCCAAACAGCGCTCAACCCCTACTGCATACAAGAGCTGCAGTAAAATGTCAAAGTGGTATGCAGAAAAAATAAAACCAAAAACACTATGGTGTGTGAGTGTGTATGCTTGTATATATGAACAGTAAATTACTCGTAAATCCAGCGTGTGCACTCAAGCTACAATTTATTTTAACTGACGCTTCTGGCGGTCGCTAAGTAATTGAATCAAGTTTCTCTAGCTCACTTTCAGAAAGTATGCAGCCCATACAACTTAAGTAAAAGAAATGACAACTTTAAAGAACTTTGTACAACTTACTGATGCTCCTTTTACTTCGGCAAAATGAAACCATACCTGAATCGTTCGCATTTTAAGGAGGATCACTGCATTATATATTGATTAATGAAAAATATAAATGCAGGACTTCAATATCAATTGAAAATTTTAAATATATTTTCGCATTTTTGATTCAATATTCAATTAACGGTTTGACAGAAACAACTTTAAGTTGAGTGTACAAAGTTGAACAACACAATGTTCAACTTGCATTTATAGCGCATTGAATATTTCGACTTAACGCTTGTGAGCTGGCAAACAATTTCGTAAATCATTTCACTTTTTTCCTCAACGGCTTCAGACTTAGATACGCACATTTAAATTAGAAGAGTACAAAACGCAACTTGTCCCAAACAAGCTGAGCAGCTGTTATCTTGATTTCCAATTCAATTGACTAATCAGGCTTGGCGAGAGAACAGTTGGTGCAAATGAATCCGTACTGAAGCAAGTGCGTTCATGAAAATAGCGGATCACAATGCATGTACATACTGTACCGCAGGCTCTACTTTAATTACAATATACAAGGTATGGATTGCTTGCGTAAACCAACTTCATTATAAATAATTGCTAAAATTCCATAATCATGTATATTGATTACCAAAGGAAGAAAGCAGATATTGGTTGGAAAGATTGTGTTTAATTTTATTCCATGTAACAAAAATTACAATTACTTTAGCTTTTAGTTCTATGAAAGCGGACATGTCATCTGCTCTAATAGTTTCAGGGTATAACGCTCTGAAGAGTCAAAAAAAGAAGTACCCAAACTGGAAGTACCGGTTTTCGACAAACGTGTGCATGCGCACTCTGCAAAATTCGATTAAAGACACTTTATTTCTTCCTTATAAAATTAAAAATAACATTTTTAATTTTCAAAAAGGAATTACATTTTTAACATTAACATACCATTTTTATTATTTTTTTTAAAGTGAGGTTAAGGTGCGTAATTCGATTAAAGGCAGTGCTATTAATACAATATATAGAAATGACCTGAAAATAACAAATTAATAATGTGTCCAGCCACCAGATTTGCATATAACTTTAAAAAAAATTCGATTTGACGTCGATTCAACAACTAATTAAATCGTATCAGTAATAATTTAAACCCTTTGGACTACCGAGTTAAATTTGTTCTCATCAGAAAATACAAAATTTGGCACTTCTGGGTCCAGGACACGTATTCTTTTGCAACATTTAATCTGGCTATGTGGTGTGCCTACGTTAATGCTGGCTTTGACCACATTTTCTACCAATCGATTATTATCTGATAAAATTTTTTGAACACTATGTTTCGATATTTGTAGTTTTAGATTCCGTAGCATTTTTACATAACCCAGCCCCTAAGACTATAGATTTTTGACCGTGTGATAATTTTTGCTGTTGGTTTTTTAGCATTGTTTGTTGTAGATTTCCTTTCATTTTAGCATGCCATGAATTGCTGATGCTGATTGACTTAATTTAATTGATATTTGTTAGTTGATCCATTCAGTATCTCCTCAGGCTAGTATTTTTTCCTTTCCCATTCCCAATTTTTTATGCAACTAATAATTTCCACCTATAATTTTGAATAAATATGTATACTTTATTGTCGCATTCAAAGAAATTTCATATAAAGCCGAACTTACTTTTCCGAAGGCTAGAAAGTGACTGCCTTCAATCGAATTTCGTACACAAACTAGCTCAAATACACAATTATGCAAAAATCTTAAAATAAAAAACTAATGGAACTTTGGAAGCACCGTTATAAAATGCGTAAGCGAGGCCCTGTTGGGCTTGGTAAACTTCTTAGCACAATAAACACGAGAACGTTTAATCGAATTTAATAGAAGTTATAATATATAGTTTTTCCGATGTTGCTGATTTCTTGCCCAGATTTTAGGAGCATAATAAAACGCATATCTAATAAGTTTGTTACGCATTTATTAATAACCGAAAAGGTTTTGAATACAACATGGATAGATTTTCTATTTATCCCCTATTTTCGGGAGACCTCATTATTGATTTTAAAAACAAACTTATTGTTTCTATAGAATCTCTATGATCTAGTAGTCCAATGTTTGCTAGTCTAAATATAGGGTGCATTTAGATACTGCTTGTGAAAGCTTTAATAAGATAAACTACACTTTCTGTTACATTGAATTGAAGTGACCATTTGCAGGGGTATAAATAAAATAAAAATAAAAGTGCCCTCGCTTCTGTCGCTGTGTTGTGGCGTGTATATT